AATATACAATTGTGATCTACTAAGTGCGGCGACTCTGTAAGCTTAAATTGAGATGGAAAAGCGCGGTGTAGAACATATTTGCGAAGTGTATCCACATTCGACCCCGTCTTTGCCGATGTAAATATCAATGAAGCACCATCTAGCAAACACAGTGTTAGTCAAGTATAATGCTCATTTTAACTTGATACTGCTATCAGTCTTACACCGGATTGCAAAGTGACGTAGAGTGTACTCAATATAGTCCACCTTTACCGAGATATCCGGACGCAACTAGAATATTGGCAAAACAAATGTCAGATGACAAAATTTTATGATCATGATCAGCAGTATACCCTTACGTCCGCCTTGGCTACAACAAACACAAGAGGCACTCCTAAATTTTTTGACAGCACTCCTTCTTCCATCTAGATACTAAAGTTAGATATATGAAAGACGTATAAAACACCATACAAATAATAACTTACAAAGTCACTCGTGGACACGTCCATTGGCGTTGGCACCGAGTGATCGACACTCTGCAAGCAATACTGCGACATTAGATTTGTATCACACGCATAATATTGCGTCTCATACCGGGTCTTCATACGTCAAAATGTGCTGTTTAATAGCCGTGTACAGCTCATTTCTGGTCTCAGGTGTAAGCAGATTGATCTGCTCGAGCAACTGTCCCTCCAGCGCCGAGAGCCACTGCTCCAGTGAGTTCTTTATCGTCCAGGGCCGCGTTAAATCCAACACAATTACCACCACTGTCTATCAAACAGAAGCATATTCATTACCTTACACTTTTTACCTAGACTATTATCATCAAGCTTTGAGCCTACCGTATGCAGCGTTTGTGGCTTTACTGCAATTTTGATGAGATCCTTCAGACTTAAGTCATTCAGACTCCATGAGCTGATTTGCGCTATCAAGTCCTCTACACAAGTTATCAAAAGTCGTTGTCAAGCATATAGAAAAGCAGCGAAGTCACAACTTCGTACCAGAGGTTTCATCGCCACTGTCTTTGGCGCGCGGGTCCAGAACGTTGAGCGTTTTAAAAGCCAAAACCTTGTCTACGGTTTGTGCGTCATCGGTCGCATCTGACGAAAGAAGATTAGCCTCATTGAGACGCGAAAGTAGCGCCGATTTTCCACTTTCTGCGTCTCCGACCACCAGAAGGTTGACCACCGGCAGCTTCGACCGCACAGAGCAATCGCGCAAAATTTTCTGCCATAAATTCTCCCCCGCTGCCATTTTCTGTTTAAATTGTGACAATACCAGTCGAGTAAAGCTCGATCGTTAGATTTCAATACATTTGGCAGTGATACGATCCTCCTAAAACAGTAATTTTGGTAAGATTCACAGCAGGATAATACCCCGTAATATACCTTATAATAAAACACATAGCAGGGTACTTTATATGCATTTTTTACAAGAGACCCACCTTTCTCAAAAATCAAAACAGCCAAGAATTGATTCACCAATCTCATTGATAATTTTACATCATCAAAATCAGAATAACTTGGTGCATACGTGTAGGTGCAACGTTGCCCCAGCCTTCCGACTGCTCCAACTACAGTTGCATCGCTTGCATTTCACCCTTGCATGCTGCTGATTTCCGTGTGACTACTCTTAAGTGGGAATGAGTACCATGTTTTCCGACTCAATAGCGACTACTACTGCTTCCGCCGCTAGTAAAAGAAATGACGATGAAAATGTCAGACAGACCGACAAGGAAAGGTCATAGAAGAGTTTGGTCAGGCGGAGAAGGGGTCGCTACAACGAGAAGAAGCGATTTACTCTTTTTTCTACCCTACAACAAGAAACCGAAGTAAAAGAGGTGAAGGCGACGAGTCCGGCGGATTTAGGTACTAACCCTTGTAGAAACCTCCATAAATAGACAAATATGCTTCCCGCCGGCAACACATCTGAACTTTTCTTTTTCAGCATAACGACAGGTCGGATGCAAGGCAAGCGACCACTATGATATTAACCTTGTAAGAGATTCGACCGGTACAGGTTGAGGCTTGATACTGTGTACAATACAGATTCATGATTTACAGCATCGTTTTGACAACATTAGTGATATAATCTGTCATTTGAGGTCCGACGATGATAGTAGAACAGACCGATAAAAATTCAATTAATCGCGTTCATTGTTGTCAGGATAGTCAAAAGCTTCATCAATTTTGTCCCACAATGTATTCGCAGCGATGAAAAGGTCCATTGCTGGGTCAACCTCAAACCGAACAATTTTTAGTTTGGCCGGTACGTGAATATCTAAAAATCAGAAGTATAAGTAACGAAATTTGCTGTATTCTCTCAAATATAACACGTAGTAAATCTCTGCTTACCACCAACAATTCTTTGCGAGCCATTAAAGTCCCATCGGATGCCCGTAATAGACGCGTAGAGACTCATCTGGTTTCTGTCGTAAAAAGCTTAATAGTCAGCGATTGTGCGTGTCAGCACCTTTGATCCCTCTTACTTTGCTGCTGGAATGTCATTTTGGTGTTCAGTATTATACTGCATAAACTCCTGTCTTGCCTCTTCGTACTTGTCCAACAACATGTCCAAAGACTCCTTCGATGTCGTAAAACCCCAATGCAGCAAAAGTTAAGGAAAGCTTACAAACAACTTTTGAAATTTCAAAAATCAGCAGGCAAAAATGCAATGTAAAAACGGAAAGCGGATATTGTTCGTTAAGACGGAAGCGGTCCAGCTGCACGGCCATGTCACGCTTAATGGCATCCAGCTCCCGCAGCTTCTTGTACAGCTCTTCATTGCGCTGCTTGGCCATTTGTTCTTTTTCTTTCCACTCACTCAAATTCGCGCGTAAATCTGGCAGTAGAGCAAGCGTGTAACAATGTGTGATGTACATTTTGATGTGTTTCATACGTACGCGCAAGTTGTCGTTGCGCCGAGCTTTGGCGTTCCTGGAATGTGCTAGCGATGTCCTTACGCTTCTGCGCGAGCCCTCGCAACCGTGCTGCGTCCTTGAGTGCATCGTCGTGAAGAATTCCTTCCAGTTGGCTGCATATTCCTTGAACCTCCGCCCACGATAGTTCGTCGCCAGCATTTGCTACACTAATTCGTCGTCTTTCTTCCATTTTGTAAATTCAATTGATGTACAAAAAATGCATGACTCTGTTGCTAAATACGAGTTTCATTTTTGATCTCATGTCTTTCCGAGAGCTGCTGGAGGCGGCCATGGGCACCGCGCAGGATCTACCGCAGGACGAAGTGGGTCGCATCGACGCTCAGATGGATATGCTCGATGCTGAGTATGAGCAATCCGACGGCCCTGATGAGAGTGACGATGCGTATGTTCCACCGTCAAGTGAGGAGGACAATTACGGTGTCGAGGTAGAAGAGGAAGAAGACTCCGATATTGAGCGTCAATTGTGGGGGAAATCTCGCAAGCGTAGACGAAGTAAAGGTGGAGTGGGCAGACGACGTCGAAGGCGCGGACATACGGGCAAGCGCAGCGTTACAGCTACAAAAGTGCCGCCAGAGCTCGCGAATGTGCTGGGTGAAGCTAACATGTTGTACGCATCCCACCAATATGATGAGGCTATAACGTTACTCAAGGCCTTTATAAAAAAGGCCCCGACTATCCCAGACCCGTACCATACACTGGGTATGATTTATGAAGACAGACAGGACCGAATCAAAGCCCTTCAATTCTTTTTAATTGCGTGCACGTTAACGCCCCAGGACGCAGAACTTTGGAAGCGCGTGGGACGCATTGCAAAAGATGAACAGAATTTTGATCAGGCGTTGTTTTGCTTTAAGAAGGCGAGCAGTGCAGACCCGAAAGACAAAGAAGCTTTATTTAGTTATGCCGAGTTGAGTCGAGAGCAAGGTGATAACCGTCGAGCTGCCGAAGTGTTTAAGAGGCTAACAGCTCTCATTCCAAACGATTTGTCTTTGTGGATCCAAATCGCTGAAGCATATCATTGCAACGATCAAGACGAAGAAGCTGTAGATGCACTTAAAAGGTGTATCGAGAATGCAGCAATATTGGACTCATCGCAGAATATGCACGCGTCAAAATACGAGCTAAATGCTGTAAATATGCTTGCAGACTTGTACATCACGCTGAAAAAATATCGGGAGGCTATTGATGTGATTCATCAGCTGCACTTACGATACGCCTCAGCTTCAGACTCAGAACAAGTGGAAGGTGACCCAGGTGGCTTGCCACTCGATATTGCCGTAAAGTACGGTATCTGTCACTTGTTCGAACGGGATTTCGCCACGGCTGAATCCATGTTCACGCATTTATTTGCGCAAGATGTGCAAGTTTTTGGCGATTTGTATCTTGACGTGGCTGATGCTTACATTGCGCTAGGTCAGGACCGAGAGGCTGCAGCGATTCTACAGCAGCTACTAAGCTGTCCAGAATTTTCAGTTGAGCAGATTTGTAGTAAGTATGCCGCATGCCACGACCGCTTGGGAATTTATGACGTCGCTGTGGAATATTATAAAAAGGTGTTGGTTTACCAAAGCTCCTCACTGGATTTAAGTGTCGACCCAGAGTTGATGCTGCAGGCTATGCAAGCCACACGGAAAAATAATCGTCCATTAGAGGGTATCGCTTTGCTTAATGAATATCTTCCTGAGACGATGCGTCCGCCTATTCGGCCGTACTGGATCAATACCTCTCAAAAAAGTAAAGGCCAACATGTGGGCTCAAGACGTGATGACGAAACCGATAAAGGCGCAAAGATTGGCGACGATAGTGATGCTGCTAAATCCGAAGAGGAGGCAGATGATGAAGAAGATGCAGAGGAACAAACTCGGATGGAGATAGCTCATGACCCGTCCTTGTCAGTTGATGCGATGGATAATGGTATACGCTTAAAGCTTTTAATTGAGTATGGCCACTTGAAAAAGTTATCTGGTGAGGCCGAAGTGCTGTGTCAAGTTGGCATCCCAATTATCCTTACTTCTCTTAGCCAGACGTCTATTCGATTATCTGGTCGCGCAAAGAATCCACTGGCTGAACCTCAAGATGTCATTACTGAAAGCGATGCACAGTCTATGGGCTTCCAAGTTTTGAAGTCAGAGTACTTAGTTGACATCACAGATTTGAACCAATGCGAATCCTTCATGGGTATTGTCATGCGTGTGGCGCAGCAAATTGTAATTTTGCGTGCAATCGGTGAAGAACAGTACTACAACTTGGTAATTGATGTGGCCCGGACACTTACTGAGCGTGGCAAGTACGTGGCCGCAATCGAGTTACTGACGGACGTTAACACATCCGATAAGATTGCTAAACCTACGTTGCGATTCGAGTTGCGCTTCTTAGCTCTCGTCATCGCTCTTGAGTTTAAGGAAAATCGCATGGCATACGAGTGTGCGCGCTTAAATATTATGGAGGATCCTCAAAATCTTGGCTACTGGAATCTTTTTTCGCGCGTGATCGCTATCACAGGTGTATTTTCGTGGCATCAAAAGTTTTTAGCAAAGTTGCTGCATGACGATCCTGAAAGCTATCCCGCCATTTTACTTGCTGGCCACCAGTCCTCTGCGTGGGACATCGCGTCACTGACGGTGGGTGAGCTGACGCTTGCTCACCAAAAGCATCCTAATGATTCCCTCACGCTATTCTGCATTGGCCTGGCGTTCCTGTCCGCTTCAATGCAGCGAACCATTAACGACCGGCAGCACACTGTAGCAAAAGCTTTTGCCTTTCTTCAACAGTACGAGCGAACACGCATCAGCGCCCCGAGTGACATCCCTACAGAGCTTCGTCAAATCGAGGCATCATACAACATCGGTCGTGCTCACCAGCAATTGGTAGGTCTTCGATACGTCCTATGAGCGATACTATACTGACTGTACCAAATCAATGTGATGACAATTGTGGTTGCTTGAGTTAGGGATTATTTCATTTAGCAATTCCCATGTACGAACGAGTGCTACGCTTTTTTGAAGAAAGCAAAAAACACAAGCGCGTGATACCTTCAGAGTACTTGATATGTCGAGAAACAGCATACAATTTGTCTTTGATCTACAAGCAAAGGTTCGTTCCTGACACAGCTTGTTGGTGTCTTAATAACAATAATTCTCTACGTGTATTGCTATTCTTTGCTACTTAGTGGTGCCAATGATTTGGCAAGATATCTGATCGCGAAATACCTTACGATTGAATAATTTGTCTGACATTCGCGGCGCTGTCTTTGGAAGTGTCGGTGGCATCAGCTGCTGATTGAATCTTCACTGTCAACCTACTATAGTTTCGAAGCAAATCATCTCCGTATTTCGTAAAGTTGTGTCTTTATGGCTTCTCGCAGCTCGATAATTTGCAAACCTGCATTTGTTTGCGGCACGCTGAACGCAAAACTTTCGTGGTTCTTTTTGCTTGGACCAACTTGTAGAACGACATATCCTACAGTGATACCTAATTTTGTACCCCCACCGCTTGATATTACTGTTTGTTTGCACACTATTCTGGAAAGGAGTATCAATTAAATTTCGAATGATTTTTTGAGCTGGTGGGTAGGTATGCTATCTATATTGTTCAGTTTTTTTCTGACAACGGCCTTTTATACGCAATAACAGTGTTGCTCATCGGACACAAAGTGAAGTTCAGAATTACCATGATGAAGTATCATGATAAGTTTTCACTGGGTATGGATGAAACGATGATACCTTTTAAAGGAGAGATATTTGGCATCTGGGCTGCTTGCTCATGAGATGGCTTTTATACAAATTTAGTTGTACCTTGAAAATTGATAGTTAAGTATCATCTTCAGATAGAAATATAACCCTATTAAATATAGCAAAAGCTTCTTAAGAAGCTCTACGTTCAGCACTTGAGGGGCGGCTGGCGGGCCCACGTTAATTAACGTGGAATTGAAAAGTCGTAGCATCTTCCGCCCGAGGAGCGCGGCAAGCCCGTTGCACTTGATAGCCATTGTCGTCAATCCGACAACCAAGTATTAATAAAACATTTCATCGATGGTTGGACATGTCTCAGAGAGCCGATCTCGCTTACAGTCTTCTCAAAACCAAAACAATTTCATCTTGATTTCCGATACGATCTCTTTAATATCTCATGTCGCGTCTAGTAACATTTATTCCAACGGGCTTACACGTACCCTTGTATAAAAGGAGTGCGTTAACTGTTGCAGCCGCGTCAAACGGATGCGCCTGTTTCAGTCAGGAACGCTGTAGCACGGCCAGAAGCACCACAAACGTATGTGAGGCGGGTCGCACAAGATGGTGCGACCGTACATAGGTGTGGATTACACATATTGGCGTAGTCACAAAGT